GTAGCATGTAACTTTATATAAATATATATCACAAATGTTTAAAATGTCCTTGCCAATCATTAAATAAATTGATAAAACGAATACTTACATGTATATTTGGTGGTAAGTGATATGTGAATGAAAAAAGCTGTGAATATGTTGATGATTTATTGTTATTTTCATGTTTATTCAAGATAGTGTCCACTCTATAGTTCACCTTATTCGCTGATATCGTTGTTCTCTACATATTCTATGTTCTATTATACATTGAGTTAATTCCAGTAAAGAAATGAATCAAATATCTATAAAACAACTTTTTCTTAATGGATTTACAAATTTAAAAGTAAACAAAAGGATATATTAAATAATGTTCAGTTTACTTCTGACTACATCTTATGTTCGAACAAATAAAACCGCCCCAAGGAAAGAAATATTGCTATACAGCGTATACGTAATAGTTATCCCATGAGGACGCGGTGTGTCAGTGTAAGAACACTCCGATGGCCGGAGGCCAGAGGATGATGTAACACTGACACACCAAGTCCGAATGGGATAAATATTTTACATCCCAGCTGTTTTAGGTAAGACGAAAAACCATTTACAATTCATAAAATCTAGTTTAGAACGCAACACAACCATTATAAAATTGAGAATAGAAATGGGGAATGTGTCAAAGAGACAACAACCCGACCATAGAACAGACAACAGCAGAAGGTCACCAACAGGTCTTCAATGCATTATAATATACTTTATATACTACTATATAATATATACCCTGTATGATCCCCGAACACGATGTTTAAATATGAAACCATGTCAACTCACCCCACTGGCCAATTGGCCCACACTAAATCGCCACTTTCTAAAAAATCGCCCCAGTCTTGTTTACCAACTCGCCCCACTTATGAAAAAGGATAAAATCCCATTGAACAATCAGTCTTGCAACTCGCCTTATTTATGAAAAGGGTTAAAATCCCACTGAATAAAGGTCTGCCAACTCGCCCCACTTATGAAAATATATTGCTTCCTTTAAATATGTTTAATTACTGAGAGTTGGTATCCAGTCGTCCTGGTGTAGGGGTATGTGTCGTGAGTTGATATGCCAAAGGTCTTGAGTTCGAATCCCAGCATAGACACAGGATTTTTTCTACATACATTTTGAAAGTGTGTCTTTTCTCAATAAATATTTCTAAGTTTTATTGTGGGTTAGGCATTCCCGCAAAAATGTTTCAAAACAAAGGAAAGCATGCAAAACAAAGAAACTCAAGCTGGGGTGATCTGGTAGGGATGATCCGGCACAGATCACCCCTGGTAGAACAAAGGAGCTGGGATGTAAGGTTTATACATCTACATGGTCCAATTCATACTTCGTAACTTATTTGGCATTATTGGATTCGAGCGTCACTAATGAGTCTTTTGAAGAAGAAACGCGCGTCTGACATTCACAATTTTAATCCTGGTATGTTTATTTGGAACACACGTTAACGTTGTTCAATTCATATGTTAAAAGTAGAAATTTGAACTAAGTAAACCCTTAAACTGTTTCATTCTGCAGCTAATAATGAATTTGCTTGACTTTATTATTTGTTAATATGATAATTCAAGAAATTATAGCTCTTTCTGTGCGGTCAGATTGTAAAATCAGATCGCATTATTGTAACATTCCTAATCTACAAAAACAATAAACAGCATGTCATCACGAAGTAATCTTATGAATGATGAAACTTTAAGCTGCACGTAGAGCTAAGTCAATTACAGTGGATAATAAAAATAATTGAAATGCACACTTTCGCAATGTGTTTCCCCTTAAAAGATTTTGAATCACTTTGCTAACTATTGTTATTTTTGCCAGTTCCTAATGTCCGTTATCAGTCTTTGTACACGCTCTAAGATTGCTGAAACAATTGAAAACAAACATATCTAATATTTCTTGTGATTGTACAGATAAAGAATATAACTTTAAATTACCAAAATATTGTTTTTTCTGATTTGCTGCCATCGACATGAGCTTGCTGAACCCATTTAAATGAAATTTGATAAAACGTATGTTTCATGTTGTACAATTGTTACTAATGTGTCCATTGAAATAATATATATTGAAGGTTTCCGGCGATATGTAGAAAAAGTGCAAACGTCTGAACAAATGCAAAAAGATTTCTTTTTGTGGCGCTTACATATTTTTTTTTCACAATGGAGCAAATATTATATAAGCCGAAAAATTTTCTTTCTGGTTACAACTAAGTTATTATCAGTGGAAAACTCATCGGAGGTAAAGTATTGGTATTTGATGAAACTCGTATTAGTTAAAAGTATGTAAAATGTCACAGCGTCATATACTTAGCTGATCTAAGAACATTTAACAAAAAAGATCGAAATTGCTGTTTAGAACGAAAAATATATCAGCCAATCTATATTGCTCACAGATAAGTCCTCTTCTTTTTTTTAGATTGCATACTGTGTAAAATGTAATAACTCATCAAAATTTCTTACCTTATATAGTCAATAACGACGTTGAAGGGCATTAAAACCAAAAATTGCAAAACGTTGTGACACATATGACAGAGGCCATATATGCAATGGGTAGACAAACCATGTTGTTTCGAATAATTAGAACATTTTAATATCAGTAAATCAATGATGTTTCATGCAAGCATGTGGCATTGTGCTATAAAACAGATTTCAATATATTTAAAGTATTTAAAGTCAAACCCTCTTAAACTTTATATGAATAACTTATTTAGTGTCCCTCATTATACCTGATTTGGTGGCAAACATTGTCTAGCTAGCTCTAAAACTGCGAAATCACATTCGTTTTGTTTCATGGGATTTGATACCCTTTTCTAAGATTCCATATTTTGGGCTGATTGAAACCTAATTGGAAATCTTATTTGAACTTTTTTCTTAACCTACATAAATAAGCTGAATCAAATGGTAAAGATATAATGTCATGATTGAAGACCTTTTTGTTTTAAATATTTCATTTTTATCTGATCAGGGGGTTAACATGGCTGATCTGATCAAGGGTTAACATGGCTGATAGAGCCAATTCCTTAATTCAATTACTCAATACAGTTTTGATTCTGATTCCGATTGGTCAATTTCTTTTCCTCTGAAACACCAAGGTAACATTCTTTTCTGGTTTACATAAATGAAAATTTGGGCTTGTATCCTTTTTGGATATTAAATACTGTTTTCTCTGAAAGCGCACAAATATATATGCAGTATTAAACATTCAAGTTATTATATATGGAAAGTCTTTTGTTATACAAAAAGTAAAATAGCAAAAATATAAGGAAAATTCAAAACGGAAAATCAAATGGCAAAATCAAAAGCTCAAACACATCAAACGAATGGAATAAAAAACTGTCATATTCCTGACTTGGTACAGGCATTATTTCCTTATGTAGAAAATGGTTGATTAAACCATCTTGCCTTTAATCTGGTTAGGCTATAGGACGGATTAAGAGACCTTGTCGTTGTGTATTGATCACGTGGTTCATATATGGCGTCAATGATTTCTAAGAACCTCATGGGAAATCTAAATAACTCTTACTTCTTAATGTTAATGGATAGTCTTTCAGAAAGTTGTTTGCTCCAATTAGGTGAAAAAATTACTGCTTGATCCAATTATTAATTCTGATTGATGAGTTTTGTAATTATTCCACCACCTAAATTAAAAATCTAAATCCGTCTACACTTTATACAAGTAATGATTCGAAGATGCTTTATAGGAGAGGGTTGTGCGCTCACAAACATCATTTATACCCCGCCACATTCCTGTCCCAAGTCATAAGCCTGTAATTCAGTGCTTGTCGTTGGTTCATATCTGTCATATTTGTTTTTCATAAATTGTATTGTATAGATTAGGCTGCAAGTTTTCTCAGTGGAATTGTTTGACATTTTTTTCATTTCGAAGCCTTTTATAACTGATTATACGATATGGGTTTTTCTCATTGTTGAAGGCCGTTCGTTGACATATATTAGAGTTTATCTTCGTACTTTTGAACTCCGGTGGATAGTTGTCTCATTGGTTATGATATCACATCTCCTTGTTTTTATATTTATAAAGATTATTACAGCAAAAATGCTTCACACTATGTTCAACACGCTGGTCCGTGTTAAGCCAAAAGCGGTTTTGATTTAGGTCGATTTTAATACAAAGATAACTTTCTGTAGAACTAAGGAGATTGAATAGGTATATGATAGTGCTGGAGCTGTCCGTTGTTGACATGGAGAATATATATATATAATTATTATACAGTGATTCAGGCTCTACTTAGTCTTTCTTTACAGTCCTGATCCAAATCAGAACACCACATTACCAGTAAGTGAGTGTTATACTGTTTTTGTTTTCTTTCTGCAAAGAAAAAATCACAAACTGTGATTTCGGGTAACTTTTGATTTAAAAGGTTTCTTGGGATTCTTTTCTTGATTGTTAAAAATTTTGTGTAAAGCACTACTCACGAGAAATATAATTTTCAAAACGTGTAAAGTGTATGTGCTTTACAAAGTGTGTGCCAATTCAAGAAGTACGTCAGTGGTTGTCGACATTCTTTTGTATCTGGTTCTTTACGTAACAGTTACTTTGTATGAAGACTTAACGTGTATTTGAATCGCATAAAAAATCTTTAAAAAAAACAACAACAATAAAACGAAACAAAAATAATTGTTCAGTATAATTTTATATTTCTTTTCAACGAAGTTAAAGGGATGGCACATGGCTTAAGCATGTTAAATGTACACATTTCATGTATCTCGGTAAAAAATACTCCTACCTAATAAACATGATAAAAGATGTTAGTCCTCAACATGCATGAAATATTTGCCATTGGACATATAGCTCACAACAACTAGTATATTGAATGGCTAATGGAATGATCATACAACCAATTATCCGTTTGAATAACGTACAGACGTTGTTGATATAGTATGCTGTGACTAAAAGATTTGATTGGTGAAACAACTCTAATGAGCATTAATTAAATACGCTGGATATTTACACTTGTGAAACATTTGTAGAACAGTGTTGGATAAAAATCAGTATCTTCAGTCGACACAGATGTAGTATACACGTTTTCTCTCACGAGTTAATGTAAATAATTGATTATATACAACAGTTAATTGATATTTTTCCAACAGTCTAGAATACAATAAGTATCTGACTTTAAGACGCACGTGTTATTCATTTCACAGTGACCAGTGATGTCTTAATATATTGAAATGTGTAACATATAACTATGTAGAAAAAATGTGTTCGATCATAAAAAATTTGTCGCTATTTATATTTACTGTGATGTTTACGTGAATTTATAAATCTACACTTAAAAAGTAAAAAGGTAAGATTTTTTTGTTTTGTTTTATCGACTTTTTTGTCGTTGTACAAAAATGTAAACAAGATTTTTTTCATATGAGTATATAAAGCATCGAAGTTTGATTTCAACATAAATAGCATAGGACAATAGGTTAAACGTGTCAAGTCATAGCAAATGACAAAAGATCAATTACAGATCTTCATTTTAAATTCCCAAGTAAATACATGTAGCGAACAAACTATAAATACGCTAAATCAGTTTTTTAAATGTTCGTGAAAACATACATAACTTCAAATGATAAAAACCCTAATATTATTGTATTCGTAGATTTTAAAACATTAAAATCAATTAAAACTTTTATATTGAAAAATATTGCTATCTTTAGCGAGGAATCATTTAGTTATTTGCACGTGTCCATCTTTATATTCACTTTAACTACGCAAGATATGTGATATCAATAATAAGAAATTAAAAAAGATTGCCATGACTAAACCACAAAAGACCGAAAGTTTAAATCCATTAAACGTTTTTTTTTTTAATCGACTGTTCTTTGCAACCTCAGGTTTTATTTGTTTTATTTTACAAATTTTACAAGAAAAAAAACGTGTATGCTAAAGAAACAGATGTACATGGATGAAATCGCAGAAGGACAACACTAAGACTGATCGACCTTCACCTTAACAATATAGGTTACATTTATGTCATATCTGGGTGTCATCTACTTCATCTCATATGGAGCATAAGTCACAATAATCTTCATCTTTTATCTGTTCCTGTTGTTAACCACGTGCTTAATTTGTCAACAAATATAATCAATGTTTGTACATCTGCTACAACAGATCCCCCAGATGATACGATGTCTGCCCTGGCTTTGCCATTGCAGTAATGATCTTACAGCTTCTTCTTTTCATGTTGACAGCAGCTCTTACGTTTTCTTTATTTTGTTGAATTTATTGTAAAATTTTCTAGACTCTGATCGATTTAGAGCTTATAATTAAATCAATATATATAGTGTAAAAACTTGTGTATCGTTGAAGACTATTTTGCCATCTAGATCTTAACTGGTTCCATTGTGTATCAGGTTAACTGTACCATTGATATACACATCACATTATTCTATTTTTATGCATATGTATTGTTTACCGTAAACAATATCACCGCACAGAAAGATGGAAAAAATGCAAATAAACTCAATGACTTAAATCAATAGACACTTCAATAACGCCTTACTCTTCAAAGTTTTTCTTAGCTTTTCGACTTCAAGTATGTTTGCCTCGAGCATCAATGACGAGACATTAATTATAGAAATGCACATCTTATGCAGTAAACTTAATGTAACGACAGGATGCATCTAATATTGTTATAAATAACAAATTATTTATCTTGTAACATCTCTACCAAATGTCCTTAATGTATGTGTACATTGTAATACATAATGTACATGTCGTATTACTTTATATACGTCAAAGCATTGGTCCGAGCTGTGTTGAATCGAGAAAATTATTACTAGACTTTGTGTATTAAATGATATTCTGAATCCGGGGTGTATTTCTCAACTAAATTTTAAAATAACATTTTTTTCAAAGCATTCCTACCGTTAATCTTACATAACTTTACAATGATATATGACAATCTTTTATTGATTTTCCTACATTTTCCTACATTTTCCTTGTTAGCAAGCAGTAAAGATATTGCAACCTCTCAGGGGATTTCTTGCGATGAACTACAGTGATATTTCCAAAATGTACATATATATATATATATATAAGTGCCTATAAATAGCAGCACATGACATACAAATCTATGGGAGTGTGGATTAATCAGTACAGAGATTAATTCAATTACACAAATAAAATTATAGATTGCCTAACAATGTAATTTTAACACACTATTTAGTATGTAAATATAAGAATGTTTAAAATATTTACAAAATGATGAAAATAAACGCAATATTTCGCTAGACTAACTAGCTTTATCAACCGTGCATCTATCCAGGTGAAATCGGATGTAGATGATAAGAAACTTTTGCAGCTCAATGTATATGTTGCACTTGAATTTAGCTGCCTTGAAAATAATACATAATTTGGATGAAGTTCAAGATTTTTACAAAATTGGTAGTTGAAGTTAGCAACGTCCATTGGCCAATATTACAGGATAAAAAGGACGATGCTGTGTACTAAATTATTCTTTATCTTTCCTGTATCTTTTCTCATCTTTTTCGTTAAGACCATCAGGTTCTAAAGTGTGGAGTTGGTGGATCCAAAAATTTTCTCTTCTCCTTCTCGCCGTGGTGTCCCACTCGGTGTTGACTTCTATGATTTGGAAGGTAACATTATCAAAAGAATGTTTTGTTGAACGAAGATGTCTTGTGAGAGGACAGTTTTTGTTGGTTTTGTACCATGAACGATGGTTATTGAGCCGAATATTAAATTTATCCATTGTTTCTCCCACATACTGAATGCCACATGTGTCACATGTTAATATATAAATTGAGTTCTCCGTTTTACAGTTGGAATTTGAGTAGATGGTATAATTTTGTTTAGTAACGGAGCTGATGAAAGAACTGCTTGTATTGGCAGCTTTACAACACAAGCAGTTCCTTCGACCACATTGTTTGTAGCAACCGGGAGATGGAGTAGGCTGCTTTGCTAATACAGATGTCACTAATTTGTCACGAATGTTTTTAGGTCTTCTGAAGGCCATGACTGGTGGTGAGGAAAATACTTTTTTAAGATTTGAATCATTTTCTATAATTTTCCAATGCTTCTGAACAATGGAAGACACATTTTTAAAATCAGGATGGTAAGTGAGTACAAGGGGTGTTCTGTTAGCTGTTTTATTCTTATCTTTGTACTCTAGAAATTCTTGGCGACTAGTTTTGTTTGCTCTTTCGAAAGCGCTATCAATGATGTTGTTATTGTATCCTCGAACAACTAGATGTTTACGTAGTTGTCCAAGTCTAGCATTTTGCGTATTTTCAGTAGAGCATATTCTCTTGATTCGCAATGCCTGGCTGAATGGGATGCCACGGGAGCAGTGTTTAGGATGGCAACTTTTAGGAGAAAGGAATTGATGTTTGTCCGTTTGTTTTGTATGAAGGTCCGTTATAATGGTTCCGTTCTTGATGTAACTCGTAGTGTCGAGGAAGTTTATTTTCTCCATAGATGATTCATATGTAAATTTTATTGAATGGTGGAAAGAGTTACAGTGTCCTAGAAATTCATTAAGATGTTCTTGTGAATCTGTCCATTTGAAATCAATATCGTCAATGAATCGGAACCATGATAAGGGCTGGTATGGAGCACTAGCCAAGAGGCGTTTTTCAAGTTGGCCCATAAATATGTTGGCATATGACGGGGCCATTTTTGTGCCCATACTAGTACCGTCTATCTGGAGATAATGTTTTTCATTGAAAGAGAAGTTGTTGTTCTCTAGCACTAGTTTCAGAAGTGTAACAAGGCACTCAGTTGGAGGATTTTTTTCACTACGAGTGTTCCATACCTCTTCACACGCTGCTATTCCTTCGTCTTGTGGAATGTTGGTATATAAAGAAGACACGTCCATGGATGCAAGTATAGTATTGCTTGGTAGAGGATTGAGGCTTTCCATTTTCTTTAGATAATCAGTCGTATCTTGGATGTAAGAGGGTAGTTCTTTCACATGAGGTCTTAGATGATGGTCTAAAAATTCTGATATCTTTTCAGTTGGATGACTATTTGCTGAAACAATTGGTCGACCTGGAGAATATATATATATATTTGTCTTATTTCTAATTTACATATTTTGGAGATATTGAAATCGTACTAAATCATTATCGAAATACTTGTTACATGTAAAATGCAAGTGTCAATATTTTGACTGTTTTTTTTTTTTTTTTTCTTTCTTTTTTTTTTTAATACAAAAGGAATGAGTGTTTTATAGGATATTGCAAACTTAAATAATCAATAGCCTACAAAGCGCAGTTGCTCCGAATAACTGCTATTATTATTCCTTGGTGTCTAATAATGATATTAACATAAAAGATGCTATCAGTTTGTGAATCCATTTTCACTGCTTTTAGCGTAAATAAATCACTCTTTTCAAATCTATAAATAATCCCCTGAAACTTATAATAACATTGCAGCTAATACAGATAATATTATTACATAATCCTATATAGAACAGTTATGCATTCACTTAAAGGGTCGTGTTCTTTTCGAACTTATCAACACGATAGATATATCCGTACACTATAATTGTTAACTTGTTATAGTTACATTGCGACTTGGATGGAGAGTTGTCTCATTGTCACTCATACCACATCTTCTTATTTATGTTGAAGTATTTGTGGTTTTGCGGTATACTTAAAAAAAACAAATGAAAATGTTAAAAAAATTTGAATGATATACAATTATATACCTCTTTGGTAAAAAGGTCTGTTCTGTGTGTTGGTGTTTACCGCCACTTTCAGCGAACCTTTCTAAATCACAGTGGCCATTTTTTTATTGCTGACGGAAGCTGTAGAACCCGGAGGGAACCACCGACCTTCGGCGGGAAAACTAAAAATCTTTGTCAATTAGGATCGCAGTTCAACACATCACTCAACACGGTTGAAAAGAGGAGAATCATATGTCGAACCCAATCGCTCCGAATCTAGACAAAGTGAGAAGTTATTTAACAGAGACGAGCATTGACTCATGGACCTAATGGGAAAATAATCAGTCAATTGCTTCTGTTAAAGAGGAATTTACCGTAAAACTGCTGTAGTATACGAATTGAGTATCTGGTCATTTTTCAAACGGTATCTTTGATTTCATGTGGTGTGAATATTCTTTTTTGTGTATAAAGTAGAGATTGAAGGTAACTGTATAGACTAACATAAAAATGATAATTCAAACGTATCAATATTTTTTTTCAATTTCATATATGGGTCATTTTAAAAAAATGTCGAATTTTGAAATTGCAATATTGATTTAAAGTTACTTATTCAAACAACCCTCGTCATAAGCAAATCAAAACAAACAGTACTTATATAAAAAGATGCA